GTTCGGCTTTGCCTTGGGCAGTGTTGGAAGGCAGGTTCAAAGCAATCCCTTATCCCTTAAGGCTCTGTTCTTGCTTTCTGGGTGAAACTGACTCTATAGAACACATTTTTTAAAACTGTCATGAGCTGCGGTGGCTCAAGTGGTTAAGACGCTGAACTGCAGGCTGTGGAAGGTGGGTAGTTCAGCAGTTTGAGACCCGCGGCATGACGGAGTGAGCTCCCGTCTCTAGTTCCAGCTCCTGCCAACCTAGCAGTTCGAAAGCAAGAAATTGCAAGTAGATAAATAGGGACCACTTCGGTGGGAAGGGAACAGCGTTCCGTGCGCCTTGGTGTTTAGTCATGCTGGCCACATGACCACGAAAACGTCTTCGGTCAGTGCTGGCTCTTCGACTTTGAAACAGAGATGAGCACCGCAACTCTAGAGTCGGATTCGACTGGCTTTCGAGCAAGGGAACCTTTACCTTTACCTAACTATACAAAGGTCTGATCGGAAAGTATTAGCCCACTGCTAGAAAGATGTCCTGGGAGATCAAATACAATCAAGCTTGACTATCTCCTGTCTGATAGAAACCACCAGACTACTCAACAGGTGGCTAAATTCTGTGCTCAGGTGTACAAGCATCGGAAATCCCTTATGGTAGCATGACTTTGTAGTTATTTTGGTATGGTTTTGTATGTTTTTAAGTCTTAGTTTTATCTCTTTTTACCGTTTTAATTTTTTTTAAATCAAACTGTACTGCTGGTCGTTGACTGTTGTAATAAAGTGATTGATTGGATGGTTTTCTTTCCTCCAGTATGGCACAAAGACATCTGGTCATAGAAGCTAATAAACATAAGTCAGTAAACCACGTGTATCTGATGACCGATGCTCCCTCTGTGGAGTCCTGTGAGCAAAAATTCTACTTTGTGAGCTACCTGCATGAAAGCTGTGAGCGAGCGATTTGGCTACTGCATAAATTGGTTTGCTCTGGAGCCACCCTTCCTGAGCCAAGACAAAAATGTGTGAGCCGGAGGCTAAAAAACTGTGAGCTAGCTCACATTAACTCAGCTTAGAGGGAACACTACTGCAACACTGTGCAGAAGGGTTCTGGCATTGCCCTGCTGCAGTCAGAAGACCTCCCTCCACTCCCCGCCCCAAAGAAATGAAACCAGACACGGTTTGCAAACTCTCTTTATTGAAGATTCTCCCCCCTCCCTTTAAAGGCTTGGTCCACAGATCTAAAAGCATACCCGAGAGTCAGAGAGACAGGAATGAGCCTCAGGCCTCTCTCTATGCCCGGTATACAACGGTAATGAGTGCAAACTTCAGTGTTTCGCTTTGCACGGCTGTCCTGCCAGGGTATTTAAAACCAGAGGAGCAATTTCGAAAGGGGATGAGAACACCTCCGGGATATCTCGATACAAATCGGAAGTGGCGATGGGGAGGGGGCGTCGGAGATAAGAGAACTGGCTAGCTTTTCCTTTGTCTCCTCTTATTCAGCAAGCTTCCCATTCTGTAGACAGTTTATTTTATCCTCTCCCCCCCCTTCCGCTGAGGCCGTTTTGTGCCTTTTCCACTGAAAGGAGAGCAGACAGAAACTTGGTGCGTGGCTATATTACGAACACATAAAGGATTTAAACCAATTTAACTGCCATGGCATTCCCCAAGGGGGTCCTGGAAACTGCAGGGCTTTTTTTGGGGGGGGGGTTTGCTGGAAATTGTTACTCGGGCTCCCTCAAGGAAGAACTGTAGTTCCCCCGGGGAGAAGAGGAAATGACTGTCAAGCTGGCATAAATACACCTTTAGTGCTACTGCAGGAACACCAAACCAGGGCACTGTACGGCGGTTAAAGCAGGTAGAAGGAGGATTTCTCTCTGTGTGTGTGTGGGGGGGTCAGTCATAGGGCAACATTTCACAAGCTGCAACTTGAACATGAATGCTAAAAGACGTGGGCTGCTGTAACCTGGCGTGTGTACCTAAGATGCAGTTAAACCCCGGTGAATTCAACGGTGGTGGTCACTCGCACGTGGGTTGACTGCCCACGCTTTGATGCTGTTAGAAAGCGTTTTCCCCCCCTTGGTTCCCCCAAACATAGAGGTGTTTTCGTGCTACTCCCATGTTACCCCCATCTTTCCTGCGATCTTTCTGAAACCTGATGGGCTGCAGTGTTTTGGGGAAGATTTTGGCAAAGCCAGGAGGGCTGCCGCGTGGGTCGGAAACCTGGATCTTCCCAGGTCCCGCTCACATGGGTGCCGCTTAACCTGCCCCCCCGGGCACTGGCAGTGATCAAATGGTATATTGGTATTTCGATTACCCATAAAGGTAACCTGTGACAAAGCACCTCCCCCAGGGGTGTGCTTTGCGGGGAAATGGTCAGTCCGGGAACTGGAGCAGGGGACTTATGGGAAAACTCCATCTTGGGGCAGCCCTGCTCCATCGGCAGCTGCAGCAACAGGGGAGCCACGTGAAGGCGTCACCAGGGGGCACGGATCGATAGTACGCAGCCGAACAATGTGCGGGATTGCAGCCAGAGAGTCCTTTTCCTGAGGATAGCCGCCTCCTCCCCAGATTTCGGGCCTTGGGGCTGTAGGACGGGGGGGAAGAGTGAACGCGATTGCGGGGAAAGAAGTCCTCGCCAAAACGGACCCAACCATTTCCTTGTGTCTTTTTAGTAAAGATCATGTCATGCCATCTTTTTCGCAGCCCACTAAATTTCATGCAACAGAGAAACCGGAAATCCTGTGACAAGAAACGCCCCCCCCCCCAATCCCTCATTAAACCATTTCCCTCAAAATCCGGCTGACGCAGACAGAGGCTTGCGCCCAAGGGGAGGGGGGGAGAAAGACACTCCCGTGCGTCCTGTACACTGAGGGGTGGCGTGACGAGCAGCGCACAAATGCTGTCCGAACAAGAAACTGCTGGTGAAAATAGAAAACCGTTAAGAACCTGCCATACCTTCATAATAAAATAAAGCTAGTTATGGAGGCCACTTCAGGTGGCGTCAAACGGGATGCCTGTATAAAACATAGAAGCGTCCTCTAGAAACATGGATAAAATACAGTGCCGTTTGGGGGTGCAGAAATATACAGAGGGGACGACGACAACACACAGGTATAAAAATATACACTTGTCCTCGAACCATGACAATGACATCAACAGGTACAAAATAATTCCAGGAAACAGGAACAGGTTTACAAAAAGGACACGTTTGAATCTATAAAATGATAAAACCCAGGTTGTCCTTCAAATGTTCAGCTTTGCACACACAAAAAAGGACGCGGGCAGGCTGACGCAGAGACGCTCGTTCGGGGAGTGCCGGAGACATGCAGCAGAGACATGCGGGGCTGTCGCCTGGTCCAAAAGCAAACGGCTGGGAGGGGAGGATGGATGAAGCGACGTGGAGAGGGGCTGGCAGGGCACTGGAGGACCAGGAGAGGAGAGAACAAAGTCCTGGGTGACCTCAAAAACAGCCTGCTCTGCAACGCGGCGAGGCCAATGGTGTGCGTACCGGGGGCATCTTCCTGTGGTCCCAGTCCAGCGACGTACAGAGCACCTGAAAGCGGAGGAAGCCGTAGCCCGGCTCGACAGACCATGTTACGCAAAGCCGGGTGTGTTCTTTCTCTGCTACAGACTACTCCGAGCAGGGGCCGCTTCCTAGAAAAAGAGGTGCAGGGGCTCATTTGCATAACTCATTTGCATATGCCACACCCCCTGGCAAAGGGCAGGCATGTTTAGAATGAGTTAAGGCAGATAATTTCTTTTGGATTGTATTATTGGGAAATGCTTCTAATATTGCATGCCAATAAAAGGTATTTGAATTGAATTGAGTTAAGGCAGATGCACATGAGTTTAAATCCCTCCCTTCCCCGAGTCTCTCTGCAAAAGTGGAGAGGCTCAGGGGGAAAGGTGGGCATGTCTGCCCGCCCCCCTCTCCAGCCAAGCCGCCGTGGTGGGCTGGCTGGAGATGGGAGAGGCAGGGAGGCAGACCTGCCTGGGCACCTGGGGAAGATTGTGCAGGGAACCCAGGCATTTAACACCCCCCCCAGTCTCTCCGTGGGCAGGGGGCGGGGCCTGGGCTCCTTACTGCCGGAGTGCCGCTCCGGGGTGCTCTGGCAGGAAATGATCCCTGCCTCGGAGTCTGCGACGGCTCTGGCTGCTTGCCGAGACTACTAGAGGATCAATTTAGCTTTGCGGAGGATAGTGGTCAGTACATAAAGCGCAGCCCAAACGGCAAAGGAATTCTTTCTTCTGTCAAGCCTGCTCTAAACGCTGCACTCTGTTTCCATTTCTGTCTTGGCTGCATGACGTTTGTTCCGAGTCAGAGACCGGCGGCGGAGAGGAAGGGGTCCGGATGGCCAGCTCACGCCACTCAAGGTGCCTGCAGGGGATGCGCTGGCCACAAGAGGAGTCTGCGTGCCTCCGCCGACGCTCCCGAGCGCACTCTGCTCGAGGCAATATGAATCAGAGGCGATGGTTTCGATCCAGAGTCTGCTGCGTCGCCTCGCTCCTGCTCCCCGGAGGACGGTTTTGCACAGTGACCCCCTCTTGCACCAGGAACCCAGTGCTGAGAGCCACACAAGGCTTGAAGCCCCTAGTGTCGGGTTCAGCCCCAGTCCCGTGTGGGTCTCGGCGCAAGCTGGCTAGGAAAGGGATCGGCCAGAGGTGGAACCTGAGCTCTGGGAATCAGAGAAGCCACCCCCGCCCAGGGCCACCCTGCCGTCCTCTTACTGTTTCGGTCTCTCTCTCTCTCTCTTTGCAGTTCGTCCAAGAGCATCCATAGAGATGCATGAACGGGACTCTTTTCCCGCTTGATCCCTGGAGAAGTATTCTGGCACGTTTCAGAAGCTAAAAACCTGCCTTTGCCAAAAGGAAAGCGAGAAGATGACACACGTGGGTTGAGTCCTCACGCACACCGTGAAACAAGCAAGATTTCAGTTCCTCAAGTCTTCCAAGACAGCAAACGCAAGACAGCAAGAGCATAAGATCTGGCCAACCCAGCGCGCCCCCCAGCCAGCTTGTTGCTGTCCAGTGAAGGTTCTGTTGGGTTTCTGGTGTCAGAAGAGGAATGCTTGGTGGGCGAGCGCTCCTGAAGCGGAGAATGCGGCTGCAACAGCTCTGCCCAGCTCAGACGGGTGCGGTTTCATCTGTAAGGGCAAGGTTGCTTGTAATACTGTATGCCACCGATGAAAGTAATCTGGATTACTGACGGCGGGCAGGAACAAGAAGCAGGGAGGAACACAACATTAAGGCCAACGCAGACGGAATACAGAGGTGAGCTCGCTCGTCCCCGACAGCGTCGGATTTTCGAACTTTACGACGTTTGGCCGTGGGACTCGAGTGCCCGGTGTCCTTGCACGTGGAGGAAAGTTATACCCGTCATTTTGCAGAGAGGTCCATCTCTTTCTTTTGGCAGTTTGAATCGGATGCATCCCAGTGCGTGTCCTTTTTTGGTCAGTACCTGGCAAGGGCCACAGCCAGAGGCAGAGCTTCGTGGTCAGAGGTGTCGCGGGGACCTGATCAGTTCTCCCCGTGGTCCTCTTCCACCCAGGCGACGATCTTCCCTTCCCACCCGGGGATGATGTCATCGTCATGGAAAACCTACAGGGAAGGCAGAGAAAGAACCTTGTCAGGGGTGCCTGGGGGGTCTGCTGGGCATCAGGAATGGCACAAGCAGGGAATGGCACAAGCAGGGGTCCCCAACGGGGTGCCCACCAGCACGTTTCCGGGCACCTTCCAAGCAGTGTTCCCTCTAAGCTGAGTTAGTGTGAGCTAGCTCACAGTTTTTTAGCCTCCGGCGCACACATTTTTGTCCTGGCTCAGGAAGGAGGGCTCCAGGGCAAACTAATTCATACAGTAGTCAAGTCGCTCGCTCACAACTTTCATGCCAGTAGCTCACAAAGTAGAATCTCTGCTCACAAGATTCCACGGCTTAGAGGGAACATTGAGTATTTTTAGAAAGTGGGAGGGGTCAAATGGGTTTTTTTTTTTTGTCTAGCAAGGCTTCTGATTGGCCACCGGAGATTTGATTGGCTGTGCAGATTTCTAAAAAGGCTGCTTTGGCGGCAGCTGCCACCGCGGCACCAGGGCTTCCACTGTGTAACTGAAGGTCAGCTGTTTCAGCCGTTTTGTGGCTGGCTCCGCCTCTTGCGGCTGCTGCTTTGTGGTAGCCCTTTCGTGGCTGCGCCCACCGTGGTGCGCTAGAGTTCCAAAGGTACTCACAAGCCCGTAAAGGTTGGGGACCGATGCTCCCGCTAAGCTGTGGAGTCTGGTGAGCACAAATTCCACTTTGTGAGCCACTGGCATCAAAGTTGGGAGCGAGCGATTTGGCTGCTGCATAAACTAGTTTGCTCCGGAGAAGCCATCCTTCCTGAGCGAAGACAGAAATGCATGAGCCGGAGGCTAAAAAACTGAGAGCCAGCTCACACTGACTCAGCTTAGAGGGAACACTGTTGGGGGCCCCTGCAACACAGCCTGGAACTGGAGCCCAGCAGGTTTCGCAAGAGGCCAGCCGGTTCTCTGTTCACTGCGCCACACGCACCACGCTCTGATGTGTGCCTCTGGCTTGACGTTCTGTGGGATCTCCTGGGTTCTGCAATTTTTCCTGCAGTGCGGCCTCTCCAAATTCAGCAGTGAAATTTGTTTGTTTTATTTTGTTTTATCAAACTTACGAATTGCCCAACCTTGCAAGCAGGCTCTGGGTGATTTTACCACCTTAAAACAATTACAGTTAACAATCAGCATAAAATTATCATAATAAACCAATAAATTAACCAGTCCAGATGGCGATGTAAACCCCTTTTGCCAGCTACAGGGCCGTCTGTGCAGCAGGGCGGGGAAGGGCATGTGGGGGTCGTAGGAAGAAAAAAAAAAAGAGGGTGCTGGTCTTCACCGTGGCCGTCCTCAACCAAAAGCCTGGCGGAACATCTCTGTCTTACAGGCCCTGCGGGATTGCATCCGATCCCGCAGGGCCCTGATGTTCATAGAATCACAGAATGTTCGAGTTGGAAGGGACCTTGCAGGTCATCTAGTCTGACCCCCTGCACTCTGCAGGAGCATAGCTGAAAGACAGCCCTACAACATACCCAAAAGATGGTCATCCAGCCTCCGCTGTAAAAAGTCCAGCGGAGGAGCCTCCTCCACCACTTCCTGAGGCAGACTGTTCCACTGCTCAACCACTCTTACAGTCAGGAAGTTCCTCCTGATATTTAGCCAGTAACGACTCCCTTGTCATTTCCACCCATTATAGAATCATAGAATGTTAGAGTTGGAAGGGACCTTGCAGGTCATCTAGTCCAACCCCCTGCACTCTGCAGGAGCATAGCCGAAAGACAGCCCTACAACATATCCGAAAGATGGCCGTCCAGCCTCCGCTGTAAAAAGTCCGGCGAAGGAGCATCCGCCACCTCCCGAGACAGTCCGTTCCACTGCTCAACTAATCTGACAGTTAGGAAGTTTCTCCTGATATGTTGCTTGACAGAGCGGTAGTTCCACCAGGTTGGGGCCGGGACCGAAAAGGCCCTGACCCTAGTCGAGGACAGCCGGACCTCCCTAGGGCCGGGGATCACCCGCAAGTTGTGATGAGCCACCCAGGCACACGGGCCACAGCCCTGCAGAGGACAGCCTGAATTCCATGAGCTCAATATTTAACTGCTCTGCATCACCTGAGCTGGGTGCAGCAAAACCCTGTCCCCCTGGAGCCAAATCAAGTAGGAAAGGCTCCCACGGCTCTGGTGCCCCACTGATTGGACACCCACAGCAGCTGATTTGTCTGGGGACTTCCCCCTCTGCCTGGCGCCCTCAAAGGAGGGGAGGGGGGCGTGAGAGGACAGTCAGGTTATGGCTGTGGTCACATTAGCCACGCTACAGAGACGGAAGATAGGCGGATTTTCCGGGCGCGATCACACAGCAACATCTGGGAAGCGTAGAGCTCCCGTGGCGAACCCGAGGCTTCCCGCCGAAGATGCAACATAAAAAACTAGTACCTCTAAGGTACTAGTTTCCGGAAACCGCGGGGCAAGGGCGGGCGTCTGATCGCGTTTCCGGTGGTGGCATCCGGCGCCCGCCCATGTCCCGTCGCAAACAGGTTTCCCCCCCCCCCAAGTCTCCACAAGATGTGCACAAGCACCCAACGGCGCATCCGCACAAAAAGGAAAGCGAAAGTGCCGTTTCGGCTTTTAAAAAAATGACCCCGTTGGTCACGGCAGCGGCGCCTAGCCATTGCCGTTTCTTTGCTGCGCTGCAGGATCATCGTGTGATCACCACCCTCGTTTACGCCGGCGCCGAGGGAAGGACCCGTGGTGTGCCGACGGCGCGTCTGATCGCGTAATCGCGTATCAAACTGCGCCGGGGCAATTAGCCACGCCTCCCCCCCGCGATATCCGGCCCGTGTGACCGGGGCCTATCTCATGCACATTCCCTAACTGTGCTTTAGAACGGGAGGGGGTCCACCCCCCTTTTGGTCATGATGCCAGCCAGGCAGGAGCTCGTGGAGAAGAGACAAGGACCGGTGTCCCCTCTAAGCTGAGTTAGTGTGAGCCAGCTCAGTTTTTTAGCCTCTGGCTCACACATTTTTGTCTCCACTCAGGAAGGACGGTTCCCGTTCAAACTAATTTATGCAGCAGCCAAATCGCTCGTGCCCAACTTTCATGCCAACACCTAACAAAGTGGAATTTTTGCTCACGAGACTCCACGGCTTAGAGGGAGCACTTAAAGGGACACACACACACCCCGGTCTGCTGTCCTTTTGTCTCCATCTACAAGCAGATTTATTTATTCTATCCATTCACACCCCACCTTTCTCCCTAATGGGGACCCAAAGCGACCGACCTCATTCTCCTCTCCTTCATCTTATCCTCACAACAACCCTGCGAAGTAGGTTCGGCTGACAGACTCAGCAAGCTGCCACGGTACGAGTGGGGATTCGAACGCGGGTCTCCCAGCTCCTCGTCTGACACGCCTGGCCACTACACTGCACTGGCTCTCGACTGGATGGCCCGGGCTGGCCCGATCTTCTCAGATCTCAGAAGCGAACCGGGGTCAGCCCTTGTCAGGACTTGCGCAGGAGACCGCCGGAGAAGTCCCAGAGGCAGAGGCGGCCCACCGCGAACCACCTCTGAATATCTCTTGCCTTGACCTGGATGGCCTGATCACATCAGATCTCAGAAGCCAAGCTGGGTCAGTTCTGGTGAGGACTTGGGTGCAGGGGTCATTTCGTAGAAAAAGAGGCGCAGGAGCTCATTAGCATGACTCTTTAGCATACGTTATTTGCATATACCACACCCCCTGACATCACCGGAAGTGTGTCAGAAGGCAACACCCACCGCTCAGGCTCCACTGGACTGTTTTGGATTGCTAGCTATTGGGGGGGGGGGGACGTGGAGATCTGTCCTCCTTGCAGAGGAGGGAGAGCTTATACCTGAATATAACTTGGTCTTAAAGGTGCCACTGGACTGTTTTGGATTGCTAGCTATTGGGAGGGGGGGACGCACAAATCTCTGCAGGAAGGAAGGAAGGAAGGAGGGAGGGAAAAAAGAGAAGGAAGGGAGGAGGGCCCCTGCGCTACGAGATTCTAGCCCTGGTGAATCCAGGCTTCAACTTAGGACAGGACCAACGCTCCCTCTAAGCTGTGGAGTCTTGTGAGCAAAAATTCTACTTTGTGAGCTACTGGCATTAAAGTTGTGAGCGAGTGATTTGGCTACTGCATAATAAAGTAGTTTACTCTCGAGCTCTGCAACTTACCTGGCTGCTGTTCCTCATGGCCTGGGGCTGCTGGGAGCAGGGGGTGGGGCTTGTTGCATGTGCCCGCCCCCTGGGCTCTTTACTGCCGGAGCTCCGCTCCTGTGCGCTCCTGCAGGAAATGACCCCTGCTTGGGTGGGAGACCCCCAGGGAAGCCCAGGGTTGATACACAGAAGCAGGCCATGGCAGACCACCTCTGCGTGCCACTTGCAGTGAAAAACCTATAGTCTTTCTGTAAGTCCGGTGCAACTTGACACCACCTCGCACGCATACAAGCAGGTGCTGCTTCGTGTACAAGGGCTCTCCGTGCAGCACAAAGCTCGAAGGGAGTCCCCATCGGCGGCCGCTCCTACCTCCTCTTTGACGGTGCCAAATTCGGGATCCAGGGCCTTGAAATGGTACCGGTGCGTCCCTTCCCGATCGATGGCCGCTTTGAAGTCCCTCAGGGTCACCTCACCTAACCTGTCCATGCGAGAGCAGAGAAAGGAGGTCAGTCGGCCCCACGGAGACCTTGTGGCGCAGACGTGGGCCCTGGCCTCCCGGGTGCGGTTTGCGCGCGGCCTGCCGAGGGAGAGAGAATCCCCCGGGACCGGTGGAAATCTTACCCGGTTCTCCCTGCAGGGACAGAAGGTAGGGCTGCGGGCCTCACCTCTTTGGAATGTTGACCATGAAAGGCGTGAGGGAGCGATCCGTGAAGTAGAGCACTTTGGTGCAGGCGCTGCCGCCCATCGCTGGGGTGCTGTGAGAATGAGGCAGTTCTGCAAAGAGAGGGAGCCGGGTGGCCGTGAGAAGTCGGCTTCCTGCTGCACGGGGAAGCACAGTTGGGAACACAGGCCTTGCAGGCAGGAAATCCCAAATTCAATCCCTGTTATGTTTTTTTTCTAAGGATCTTGGGTGGCACAGCTGGGAAACACAAGAAAATAGCTGTGCCAAGGACCCTGGAAGGCTGTTGCCAGAAAGAGTGATGGGATACTGAACAAATGGCCTCACGGTCTGATTTGGTTTTAAGCAGGGCTCCCAACCTTTCTAAGCCTGTGCACATCTTTAGGATTCTGACACCAGGTGGAAGATGCAACCACAAAATGGCTGACACAGGAGGTGGAGCCAACCACAAAATGGCTGCAGCAGGAGGTGGCGCCAACCACAAAATGGCTGCTGCAGGAGGTGGAGCCAACCACAAAATGGCTGCCGCAGGAGGTGGTGCCAACCACAAAATGGCTGCCGCAGGAGGTGGAGCCAACCACAAATGGCTGCCACAGGAGGTGGAGCCAACCACAAAATGGCTGCCACAGGAGGTGGAGCCAACCACAAAATGGCTGCCGCAGGAGGTGGAGCCAACCACAAAATGGCTGCCGCAGGAGGTGGAGCCAACCACAAAATGGCTGTCGCAGGTGGTGGAGCCAACCACAAAATGGCTGCCGCAGGAGGTGGAGCCAACCACAAAATGGCTGCCGCAGGAGGTGGAGCCAACCACAAAATGTCAAGGAGTGAGGTTATGCGTAACTCTAACTTTTTAACATTTCAGACATAAACTCTAGTTTAACTGGATGCTTTTTAATCTGCACAGCCAGTAAGATCTCCAGTGGCCAATCAGAAGCCCTGCTGGGCAAAAGCCCCACCGACTTTCTAAAAACACAGGGTGGTGGGCACGAGGAGGGGTACTGATGGGTGACTTGGTGCCCACGGGCACCGTGTTGGGGATCTCTGGAACAAGGCAACTTTGTATGTTCCTCACAGGAGAGGCTTGAAAAAAATATATGAGAGAGGGCATCCCTGGAAGCCTGCATGCATAGAGAAGCAACAGTGCAACTGGTGACAGGACTATGGCAGCGGTGGCCAAACTGCAGGTCGGGAGCCACAGGTGGCTCTTTCACACCGTCTAATTTAATGTTAATAAAAAGCAAATTTGCATATTTCCCAATAAAAACATGTGTGTAATATGTGTGTTTAATGGAGCTGCGGTGGCTCAAGTGGTTAAGGCGCTGAACTGCAGGCTGTGGAAGGTCGGTAGTTCAGCAGTTCGAGACCTGACTGTGCCGCATGACAGAATGAGCTCCCATCTCTAGTTCCAGCTCCTGCCAACCTAGCAGTTCGAAAGCAAGGAATTGCAAGTACGGTAGATAAATAGGTACCACTTCGGTGGGAAGGTAACAGCGTTCCGTGCGCCTTGGGGTTTAGTCATGCCGGCCACATGACCACGGAAACGTCTTCGGACAGCGCTGGCTCTTCGGCTTTGAAACGGAGATGAGCACCACAACCCTAGAGTCGGACTCGACTGGCTTTCAAGCAAGGGAGACCTTTACCTTTTTAATATCTGTCCATGTATTGCGGCTCTCAAACATCTCACGTTTATTCTGTGTGGCTCTTGTGTTAAGACAGTTTGGCCACCCCTGGACTATGAGATGTTCTGTAGCATAACACCAAGGAACTGTCCCACGCAATGCCTGGAGCACCTCACCCGTGACAGAGCCCGGGGTTAACGGCAAACTCTCAACTCTCTGGAAGCAGCAGTCTGTTGCAGGCAGTGGCCAACCACCTCTGTCCGTCTCTCGCCTTGGAAACCCCACCGGTTTGCCATAAGTTGGCGGCTATTCGGCAGCCCCTCCCACCACTGCCAATTCCCCAAACAAAGAGTTGATCATTAACACTCGTTTAATGAATGCTATGGTTGGCGACGAAGATAACGGTAAAACAAATGGGCAACGGGAAAACTGCTGAGAGTAGCAGAACCTTCAGGGAATAGGCTTACGTCCAAGTGAACATATGACAGGCCTTGCTCGGTTCTTATGGGAAGTCACATCGTGCTGCAGTAAAGTCTGTGTGGAGCCCCCAGTTTCAAGCCTTCTTCCAGCTTAGTGTGGAACAGTAATATTTCAGCCGTGCAAAACAACCTTCGCGTGGGTTCTTCCCCTGTCAAGTCACAGCTGGCTTGTGGAGTTGTCAGGGCAAGAGACGTTCAGAGGCGGTTTGCCGTTGCCCCCCTCTGCCTTGCAACCCTGGACTTCCTTGGTGGTCTCCCACCCAAGTACTAACCGTCACTGTGGACGGTCCCAATGAAAAACTTGAATGTCTGGACATCCCATTTACCAAGCAACAGGAGGACACGACAAAAAGAGGCGGCGCTATCAGCCACCGCCACTAGATGGCAGAACTGGCTTGTCATAAATCCACTTGAATATTGCAATGTGGCATTTCCTGCTTGAACTCCAAATATTTGTTATTCCTCCTTCCTGCCCGCAGGCTGCAGCAGTCCCCTGACAACTGAACCCAGGTAGATGCCCACAGGCAAGCAGGGTCTTTGACAGCAACAGGCCAAGACTAGGGAGACGGCTAGAAGAGGCGATAGGAATGAGAAGAAGAGTGGATTTATACCTCGCCCTTCACTCAGGAGTCTCAGAGCGGCTTACACTCTCCTTCCCTTCTTCTCCCCACAACAGACACCCTGTGAGGTAGGTGAGGCTGAGAGAACTCTTTTGAGGACTGCTCTTGAGAGAACAGCTCTGGGAGGACTTGTGACTGACCCAAGGTCACACCAGCAGCTGCAAGTGGAGGCGAAGTGGGGAATCAAACCCGGTTCTCCAGATTAGAGTCCGCTGCTCTTAACCACACTACACCAAACTGGCCTTCCCCCCGTCCCCCGTCCCTCGAGAGGAACTGTAGGCAGCAGCCTCTGAAGCAAAGCATTGCCCGGTGGGTTTGGACCAGGGCAGCTCTGGAATCGCACTCACTGGAGTTGGAGGGCCAGGAGTCTCTGCAGTCGTTGGTCAGGTGGCCGGCAGGTGACTTCCCTCGACCCTGGGTGGGGAGGAAGGAAACCAGAAGAGTGAAGGAAAGGAATCCCGCACAGTCTTACAGGCACTCAAGGCTATGAAAGAACAATCAAGATGCCGGGGTTAAGGTCTGGTACCCCACGACCGGCCCTGGGACTGAGCCCTGTCTGGCATCAAACCCCCCCCCCTCCCCAGAGATGCACAAAATGGACTGTCTTCTCTGTGTGCTTGGAAGAGACCAGGGTTCCCTCTAAGCCGTGGAGTCCTGTGAGCGAAAATTCTCCTTTGTGAGCTAGTGGCATGAAAGTGGTGAGCGGCTGCATCAATTAGTTGGCTAATTAGTTGGCATCAATTAGTTGGCTAATTAGTTGGCATCAATTAGTTGGCTAAGATTTGGCTGCTGCATCAATTAGTTTGCTTCCTGAGCGAAGACAAAAATCTGCGAGCCGGAGGCTAGAAAACTGTGAGCTAGCTCACACTTGCTCAGCTTAGAGGGAACACTGGAAGAGACCTAGAAAGTTATTTTTTCGTGACTCAGTGGGCAGGCCTGCTACAAAGCTCGGATTCCAGGGTCGAAGCCCCCTACTTATTTATCTCATTTATAACCCACATCCTCCCCCCCGCAGGGTCTCAGGGCAGCTTAGAACATTCGAAGTACAAATAAATACAGTAAGTATAAAACAATAAAACCAATTAAAACATCAACAGAAGAAGGAGGAGGAGGAGAGATTGGATTTATACCCCGCCCTTCACTCAGTCTCAGAGCGGCTTACCAACTCCTCTCCCTTCCCCTCCCCACAACAGACACCCTGTGAGGTAGGTGGGGCTGAGAGAGCTCTGACAGGAACGGCTCTTTTTCAAGGACAGCTCTTATCAGAACTACGGCTTGCCCAAGGTCATCCAGCAGCTGCAAGTGAAGAGTGGGGAATCAAACCCGGTTCTCCCAGATTAGAGTCCACGCACTCAACCACTACGCCAAACAATAAAACCAATTAAAACATCAACTTAACAAGCCAATCTGAAGGGTAAAAACAACTGGCCAGCTCCCTGGTTCGTAATGCTAACGAAAGGCTGCGCAGAACACAGCAGCCTTGCCTGCCCTAAGGAATGCTGGGAGGTCTCACGGGGCACACCCTTCCTCGGGGAGCTGGTTCCAGAGAGAGCGGGGAAGCCACCGAAAAGGCCCTTGCTCTGGTAATTGACAGGCGGGTTGTTATTCTCATCGTCATTCAGGGCTCCTTTTGGGCAGAAACGCACAGGAACGGAGTTCCGGCTGGCTCCTGAGTTGGCCGCGCCCAGCAGGAGCTCATTAGCATAATAGGCCACACCCAACAGCAGAAACTCATTCGGATTGGCTACATTAGGGGTGTGTGGCCTAACATGCAAAGGAGTTCCTGCTACAAAAAAAGGCCCTGGGTTTTGACCACAAACAAGGTAAACAGAATAAGAAGCGAAAGGTGGGTGTGGCTGGATGACCACACTTCTGGTAACATGGGGGTGGGGCCTAATGTGCTAATGAGTTCCTGCTGGGCTTTTTCTACAAAAAGAGCCCTGGATTATCATTAAAACCATTTTTATGCCACCTTTCCATAAGGCGGTGAACATAAAAGACATCAGAACATTTGAGCGATTAAAAATACATCTAAAATGATAAAATGATTCAATTAAAAACATATAAACGAACAGCTGCTTTGACAGCCAGCTCTCTGCCGTCCCCCTTCCCACACTGCAGAGCCAGGCAGAACAAGCAAAGCGGAGGACGCAGGACACAAGCGGCGCGTCTGGTTTCCCTGCCGCACAGCAGTGGCACAGAGGCAGGAGAGGCGGCGGAAAGGTCAGCGGAAAGCAAAACAACAGATGGGTTGCGCTGATTAAAGGATGCGCCGGTCAGAGGCAAAGGGACCACGTGCCCTGTGAGGTTAGCAAAGAAACTCCCGAGGAGGACCAGAACGGGCTGCACGAGGATTGTTTCCAAAGCCCTGCGGCAACAGTGGTCTACAGCGGCTTCTTTAGCCTCCAGATTTCAAGATGCTCACCTGTGCCACTTCATAGAATCAAAGAGTGGGAAGGGATCTCCAGGGTCATCTAGTCCAACCCCCTGCACAATGCAGGAAATTCACAAATACTTCCCCCTCCACACCCCCAGTGAGCGCTGTTCCACGCCCAGAAGATGATAAAAAACCCTCCAGGATCCCCGAGCAAAATGGCCTGGAGAAAAATTGCTTCCTGACCCCAAAGTGGCGATCAGCGTTTCCCTGGGTGTGTAAGAAAGGGCCACAAGGACTAAGCACTGAGGCAACCCTTCCTGCCCTCCCTCTCACGGTCTGCCTCAGTTCACACAATCAGCAGTGCTGTCAGATGGCCATCTAGCCTGTGTTTGAAAACCTCCAAAGAAGGAGAGCCCGCCACCTCCCGAGGAAGCCTGTTCCACTGAGAAACTGTTCCGACTGTCAGGAAGTTCTTCCTAATGTTAAGAAGAAGAAGAAGAAGAGATTGGATTTATACCCTGCCCTTCACTAGTGAAAAGTGTCTCAGAGCAGCTTACAAACTCCTTTCCCTTCCCCTCCCCACAACAGACACCCTGAGAGGTAGGTGGGGCTGAGAGAGCTCTGACAGAAACTGTTCTTTTTCGAGGACAGCTCTTATCAGAACTACGGCTTGCCCAAGGTCATCCAGCCAGGTGCAAGTGGAGGAGTGGGGACTCAAACCCGGTTCTCCCAGATTAGAGTCCACACACTTAACCACTACACCAAACTGGCTCTCTTAGCTGAAAACTCTTCTGATTTAATTTCAACCCATTGGTTCTGGTCCGACCTCCTTGGGCAACAGGAAACAACTCCACACCATCCTCTCTATGACAGCCCTTCAAGGACTTGAAGAGGGTTCTCATATCACCTGTCGTCTCCTCTCCAGGCTAAACATACCCAGCTCCTTCAGCCTTTCCTCACAGGACTTGGTCTCCAGACCCCTCGCCAACTTCGTTGCCCTCCTCTGGACATGTTCCAGCTTGTCTAAATCCTTCTTAAATTGTGGTGCCCAAAACTGAACACAATACTCTAGGGCGAGGTCTAACCGGAGCAGGGTCAAGCAATACCACCACTTCACATGATCTGGACACTACACTTCTGTTAATACAGCCCAAAATCACATTTGCCTTTTTAGCCAACGCATCACACTGCTGACTCATGTTCAGTGTATGGTCTAAGACCCCTAGATCCTTTTCGCACCTACTACCGCCAAGACAAGTCTCCCCCATCCTATAATTATCCATTTGACTTTTCCTCCCTAAATAACGAACTTTACATTTATCCCCACTGAAATTCATTTTATTTGTTTTAGCCCAGTTTTCCAGCCTGTCAAGATCATCCTGTACCCTGACTCTGTCTTCAGGATACAGGACGTCTTCCTAGGGGAGGACTCTCCCACCTGGAGGGCGCAAGTCGTCTGCTGAAAGACACGTGGGCCAACCAGAAGGAGAACGTGAGCCGTGAGCGGGAGGCACCTCCCAATCCCACCTTCTCAAGCCCACCTGGCTCACAATCTGCTCCGAGGGCTGCTCTGCCAGAGGACCCCCAGGTGTACTTCAGCTCCCCGTCTTTGCATCCTAAACTGGAATGAGATCTCAGGTTTCCTCAATCCCTCAGCCTCCTCCCCACCCCTTTCCTTGACTCTGGAAAGAAATCTGGCTCTCAATGGCACTGGGAGTTTTGTTCCTGCCTCTCACAGTGACCTGCGCGGCCATAGACTGTGCCCAGGTTCCCCCCCCCCCCCATCATCACACAGGCACCACATAAACCAGGGGTGTCAAACATGCGGTCCGGGGGCCGGATCAGGCCCCCGGTGGGCTTCCATCAGGCCCGTAGTGGAACTGGCCATCTCCTGCTTCCAGTTCTGCTGCTGCTGCATCATCGCTTGCTTCGCCAGACTCTCTTAATCACTCAGCCATTCCCTGTTTTAACCTGGGTCCTAGACTCAGAACTCTGAGCATGAGATTTCTGTGGTGAATGTCAAGAAATCAAAAGTAGGTTTGCAGCTTACAGAGCTAATGTTTTATGCATGTTTTTATTGTAAGTTTAAAAAAACCCTTTGTGTTTGTGTCCTTTATAAAGTTTCAGTCTCCGCTACCGGGCATTACATTTTATGACATACATGGCTCGGCCCAACGAGATCTCATTTATGTCAGTTCCGGCCCTTATAACAAATTAGTTCGACAGCCCTGACCTAAACCCTTCTGCACTGAGCTGTTTTGGACTCCAGCAAGCCAAAAGCATCCTGAGGTGAGCTAAGTCAGGAAGGGCTGCCGCCCAGTGCATCTCTGCTTTCAGGCAAGTCTCCGCACTCTCCGGTAGAATGTAGCCATAGAAAAGAGCAAGAGTCCAGTAGCACCTTAAAGACTAACTAAATTTGTCCCCTGAAGAAGTGAGCGGCAACTCACAAAAGCTCCTCCCCTGACACAAATTTTGTTAGTCTTTCAGGCGCTACAGCACTCTTGGCCTTTTCTGCTGCTACAGACAGACTAACACGGCTACTCTTCCTAAAGTAGAATGTGTTTGTGGGGAACAGCTTCTGCTTAGCATGCAGAAGGTCCCAGGTTCAATCCCTGGAATCTCCAGTTAAAAGGACCAGGCGGTAGGTGATGTGAAAGACCTCAGCGGCTGCCAGTCTGCGTAGGCAGTCCTGACCTTGATGGACCTACCGTCTGATTCTGGATAAGGCAGATCCATCTGTGTTCAGCCTTTTGCTCCCTTCAGTTAGAGTTCAGACAGTGAGTATTGGGAAGGTCCCTGTTTTGCCTGAGATCTTGGAGGCTTGTTACCAACCAGTGAATTCAGTACTGACCAGGGCTATTTTGGAGCAGGAACGCACAGGAACGGAGTTCCGGCTGGCTCCTGAGTTGGCCACGCCCAGCAGGAACTCATTAGCATAACAGGCCACACCCAACAGCAGAAACACATTAGAATTGGCTGTGGTGTGTGGCCTAACATGCAAAGGAGTTCCTGCTACAAAAAAAGGCCCTGGGTTTTGACAACAAACAAGGTAAACAGAATAAGGAGCAAATGGTGGGTGTGGCTGGATGACCACACTTCTGGTAACATATGGGTGTGGCTTAATATGCTAATGAGTTGTGCTGTCAGGGGTGTGGCCTAATATGCTAATGAGTTTCTGCTGGTAAGTGTGGCCTATTATGCTAATGAGTTCCTGCTGGGCTTTTTCTACAAAAAGACCCCTGGTACTGACCGAGAGGGACCGATCCTCTGGCGGTATAAGGCATTTCCATCGGTTTGTACGCCTTGGTCTCCTGCCTGCTCGCACTCTAGAAGGGGATCACAACAAAGTCAGTATTGTGCATGCTGTTCATACATGCTGAAGTGCATTGCCAGGGCACCATCCCCGTGTGCACAGCTGCACGGACTTGCCCTCTGGCTGGGTGCTCCAGTACTGAAGAGGAAAAAGAAAGCACCTGCAGACCTGCATGAGCAGGGCCGCCCCAGGTGATCTGCGTGCGAGAGGGATCCTGGGATCATTTGCTGTGGACTCTCGGCACTTGACAAGCAAGAAGGGATGACAGATCAAGGGAACTGGACCGGAAGGCTATCTCCTGCTGGCCGGATCGCCTACAATCCCCTCCCACGCACAGGTGACCCCGTGCGGTCCCGATCGAAACGTCCTGCGAACACGGAGGAGGCGTGCTGCTTATACGGCGACGCTGCCTCTGGATAAGCCACCAAGCCAGGCCCCGGGAGGGCCTCTTACCCGTCTCTCCTGCCTCTTCTGCACCTCCAGGCGGTGCAGCCGCTCCATCAGGCTGGAGATGCCTTGCTCCAGGCTGTCGATGGTGTGGTGCTGGGGGTCGTGGCCGCTGAAGCTGTTCCGCAAACTCCGCAGGGCCTCGCGCACCAGCTGCAGGTCGTTGGTCTGTCCGGGCGGGCGGCGGAAATCGAGAGAAAGCAGAAGTCAGCAGCCCGGGCCATCTGTCCGCGGCCCCAGTTCCCACATCTCTGCCAGGCGAGGGTGCTCCACGGACCCCCAAGGGAGGAGGGAGAGGAGGAGGAGGGAGGTACTTACCCCTCGGTGAGTGGTGGACGAGGCTCCTTTTCCTGAGGGCTGCAGGAAGCCGTTGCTCTGAGAGGTGTGGTTGCTGTAGACAATCACCTGCTTGGCAAGATGAAAAACACCCCCCCAGACCTTCAGAGGACAGACCGGGACTGACCCCACAGGGAGACCAGGAGCATGACGGACCCAGCAGAATTCCATAGAATCATAGAGTCGGAAGGGACCACCAGGGTCATCTAGTCCAACCCCCTGCACAAGGCAGGAAATTCACAAATACCTCCCCACCCACACACACACTCTCCAGTGACTCCTGCTCCACACCCAGGAGATGACCAAAAACCTCCAGGATCCCTGGCCAAACTGGCCTGGAGAAAAATGGCTTCCTGACCCCAAAGTGGAGATCAGCATTTCCCTGGGCGTGTAAGAAAGGGCCACGAGGACTAAGCACGGAGGCAACCCTTCCTGCCCTTGCTTCTTGTGATCTGCCTAAGTTCACAGAATCCACATTGCTGTCAGATGCTGGTTCCCTCTAAGCTGAATCACTGTGAGCTAGCTCAGAGCTTTTTAGCCTCTGGCCACATTTTTATCTCAGCTGAGGAAGGGATAGTTCCAGAGCAAACTAATTTATGCAGCGGGCAAATCGCTCGCTCACAACTTGACAGGCACAAGACTTGGGTATGTTTAGCCTTGGAAAGAGAAGGCTTAGAGGGGACATGATTGCAGTCTTCAAATATCTGAAGGGCTGTCATGTAGAAGATGGAGCAGATCTATTCTCTCTTGCTCCGGATTGCAAGACTAGATCTAATGGGTGGAAATTACAAGGGAGTCGTTACCGGCTAAATATCAGGAGAAACGTCTTAACTGTAAGGGTGGTTGAGCAGTGGAACACAGACTGCCTCGGGAGGGGGTGGATGCTCCTTTGCTGGACGTTTCCAAGCGGAGGCTGGATGACCCTCTTTCGGGTATGTCGTAGGGCTATCTTTCGGCTCTGCTCCTGCAGAGTGCAGGGGGTTGGACTAGATGACCTGCAAGGTCCCTCCCAACTCTAACATTCTATGATTCTATGATTCTATGATCTTTCATGCCAGTAGCTCGCAAAGTAGAATTTTTGCTCACAAGACTCCACAGCTTAGAGGGAGCGGAAGGGAGACCACCCAGGAAGGGAGACCACCCATGGAAGACTGGGGTTGCTACACAGAGGCAAGGAATGGCCTCGAACATTCTCTGGATGGGGTTGCCACCAGCAATGCTCCCTCTAAGCTGTGGCGTCTTCTGAGCAAAAATTCTACTTTGTGAGCTACCGGCATTAAAGTTGTGAGCGAGCGATTTGGCTACGGCATAAATGAGTTTGCTCTGGAGCCATCCTTCCTGAGCTAAGTCAAAAATCTGTGAGCCGGAGGCTAAAAAACTGTAAGCTAGCTCACAGTAACTCAGCTTAGAGGGAACACTGGCCACGAGTCACTTGCATGACTCAAAGGGACGTCCTTCTTTTGACCCAGCAGTCCAGTCTCCGGCAGCTGCTGTTCTGACTCTTGTGTGTCATCAGGAGCTGCTGCCGGAACAGCTGAAGAAGCATCCGGCCCAAGACAAGTCATGGAACTTTGCCTCCCCCCCAACATACCCTCTGCAAGCCTCAGCCAGCAGCTCAAGCCCCACCCACCTCCTCGGCATCCTTCTTCATGCACTGAGCCAACAGGGCTTCTTTGTGCTCCAGCTCCCGTTCCAAGTCCGCCTGCAGAGGGAAGAAGCGGGTCAACGGGTGGCGGGGGACAAGAGGGCCAGGTCGCGGGCAGGTCTGGAAGTTTGGGGGGAGGGGGGGGGGTGTCGTACCTGTTGGTAGCTGGCCTCGGAGAGCTGCCGCAGCATCTCGTCCATCTTGGCCTGGTGCTGGTGCAAGTGCCGATCCTTCTGGGCCAGCTCTTTCTGCAACACGGGAAGGACGGGGGACGTCAGCAAGGGGGGGGGCTCGCTCCAGGCAGGGGCAAAGATGGGGACCACGGCCAGCACAGCCCACGGAGCTGGAGCTGCTTTGTTTTCCCTCCCCCATCTTAATTCTTTATTTCCAAATCTCTTTCTTTTATACAGGGGTCATTTCCTGCAGGAGCGCACAGGAGCGGAGCTCCGGCAGTAAGGAACCCAGGGGGCGGGCACATGCAACAAGCCCAGCC